TCTGATCCCTTAGGGATTTATTGAAATATACAGTTTGACCAGGTGTGCCTAAACTTTTGCGTGCAACTCTCTCTCTCTCTCTCTCTCTCTCTCTGTGTGTGTGTGTGTGTGTTCTAGCTGTTTCCTTTTTCTCAGATTTTCTTTCAGTTTCTGCATGCCTTCAAGAGTCTCTGGCATGCCTTCAAGAGGCATGAAGATGGAAGAATGCCAAATTGAGAAAATAATGTTTAGACAATTTACTTCAGTATTTACATAATGCAAACTAAGAATGGGGAATTTGGTGTTCTCTGTATGTTTTGGAGTTCAGCTTCAGACAACCTGGCCCTGTTTTAAACCACTATTCACACTCTCAGATTTTGAAACCAAGCACACTTATTGGGGGGCTCCTTTTCTGTGAACAAGGATAATAATATATTTAGTTACATTGAAGAAGATGGATTAAAAAACTGGAACTCCTAAAGGTCCCTGGCTTTCTCCCTAGATTATATCACTCACATTCAAGATGACTCATGTAGCTCTCTCCTCAGTGGCATCTTCAGCAGAAAATGAAAGCTAAGCTCTGTATGAATCCCTACACTTCACTCATGTAGGCTGAGTGTCTTACAGAAGACATTTGTAGTATGAGGAAGGACACACAATTGGTTGAGTCACATTCATTGATTACCAATATGTTTTCTCTGATAGCATTTCTATGGTCTTAACAGGGTTCAGTTTCACTGGGCTTGCTAATAGCATGGCTGTGAAATAGCTGTGCATCTGCAAAATATTATACTTGCCTTATTAAAGTTGTATGTCATAATTGGAGGCATCTGCAGCAGGGGATCAATAATAATAATGAATTATTAAATTTGCATGCTGCCTGTCTCCCACCATCTGTGGGGGCTTTACAACAATCAAACAAAGGAAATATAATAAAAATATGATGAAACCAAATAAAACATAAAGATAAAAGATGGCAAGTGTGGCTGACCAAATGGAATGAAGCAAGGGGTCTCACTCTCCCTCACTGGCATTGTTGATGTCCTACGGAGTATGTCTGGCCATTGTCAATTGAATTAGTACTTGGGGTCTTTTGCCAAGAAGAAATGCAAGACTTCCTATCTGTATTCGTTCCTTCCCTTTTGCTGTGAATAAAATCTTATTGTGTCTAGTAGTATGATGCATATTACTTATAGTCTTGAACTTGTGCTCTGCAAAACAACCATTGTCTTCCTTGTAGAATGCAGGATTATTGGAGAATAATAAAATAGCAGCTCACCTGTCACATTCAGCTCAGTGACAATTTCATCAAACCCAGTTTCAGTTGTGACTACACAAGTGTATTTTCCTTGATCAGAGAGACTGATATTCCTCAGTTTCAGGGACATGTTCCCTCTATTAAGTTCATTATAGAAGAGTTCTGCTCGATCCCCATAGTTTTTAAGCTCTTTTTCTTCTTTATTTTTTCTGTGGTAGTATATCACATCTATTGGTTTGGAGGAGTTGGAAAATATCCAGTGGACCTCAATGGCGGTATTGTTAGGTATGCTTACAGACATGAGTTGACATGGTATGGTTACATCCTCACCAATGACTGCAATAGGGTTCTTCTTGACCGGAAGAATAGTGAAGTGACCTTTTAAAAAAATACAACTTTTCATCCAGAGCACATTTGTTCATTTGTACAGTATCAATAGCTGCTTCATAACTAGCTTAATTTTGTCAGCTATAACACCGTGTGTAAATGTATCATTCCGGAATATCCTAGGAGAGGTTTTCCAAATGTTAATAGAGAAGGGATTGGTTTGCCCTTGTAATACTCAAATCTTTTTCTTTAAACCAACTTCTATCATTCTGAATCCATGCCTCTTGTTGTAAGTTAGCATTGCCTCTGGATTGGACGTAAACTTGGCATATGCAATAAAACACAATGAGCTCTATTTACTTTCAGGAGACTTTATAGTTCAGATTTGCCTGTATAATCTTGTCAAAGATAGCTTTCTTTAAAGGTCTGTCTAGACGTTTTGTTGTACCTTTAAATATTGCCAACAAGCCTAGCTAAGAAGTAATGAATAAATTATATAACATATGTAAAAAGGCAGAATCATTAGGACTTATTTACTATAATATCTCTGAGCATCCAAGTTTTCCTTTATCAAACTATTAGAAATTTAATGCTAGGTATGAAAAATACCAATTCTGTAGAGTTAAGGAAGTGAATCCTCCACCTTGCTGGGTTTAGTTTCACGCGCATTGCTTGAGGGTCAGACTGCTTACTGTCATGAATCACCTTCCCAAGAGAGTTACCTGGATGTATCACATGGAAGATCTGTAGAACCATCCAAACACTAACAACTGCAGAAGAGGTAAACATTGATGAAAAAATGAAAGGAATAATGTTTTGCTTAGAAGCTGCTTCTGCCCCTTGAGAAACAGAAAACAGAACAATGGTAAATATATAAAGAGCAATGTTAGTAACAGTAATAGTGCAAGGACTATAGAATAGACTGTAGGCACATAACCCATAGTATTCACTTACTGGAAGTGAATTATAATTAAAAATTATATGGTTGCTATCTTTAGAAACAGTTATTTTTTACTATCAAGTATAAAAAGCCTAATACTCAAATACTGAAATAAAACACAGGTTGTCTCTGCAGATTTTTCATCCAAGGACAGTTCCTCCTATACAGAAGGTATACAGAAGAATACCATCAAAGTAGCAGGGAAGCACATAATATTCTTGGACTTTAGAGAGTGGAGGACATTTCTTTTCTAGAGAAGAAGAAGAAGTAAATATCCTCAGATGTTGCAGTTTATACATTGACATTCATTTCTTGATTATTTCAGGGTTAAGTGTAATCTGAGAATGCGAAATCCTCCAGAAGGAAATCTGAGAATGTGACTTCCCACTTCACTTATTAATAGCATTTTATATTATAATTGGATTGATAAACCTGTCCAATTATAGAGGTTGCCTGGGCAGCTCATATGGAAATGGAACATTAAAGTGTAGTATAAAATAAAAGAAGCCATTAAAACTAAAAACAATGAAAAAAATTAAGACAACATACTGAGTTCTTAGTAGTTAGAAGATCAAATGTCCCCCAGGGAAATAGCTTGTTCTCTCTCTCAAAGATAAAAAATGTAATTATCAGTACCTGGTAACTACTGCTATGAAGGATCTCACCTGAAGGATGCATCATTTTAATCTCTTCCCAAGTTATTAATTCCATATCCTCAGTAGAGATAGAGAAATGCCTCCTTAAATTTTCAAGACTACATTCAGGATACTGAAAAAAGATCTGTCCTGATGTTTAAAAATAATTGTTTCTTACCTGAACTTCAATACGTATACATATTTCCTGCTTCATGCAGACTTTGGTCTTTCAAAGGATTACTTTCACTTCTTATT